TCTACGTAACGCCAAGGGATCGAGTCGATCCGAGATGTTTGGGCTATCGACGATTGGAGTCGCTCTTCGTTGGATGCGATCCAGAGAGATAAGCTGGTACTGAGATGCCAATATATATGATATATATATACATATAATAAATATATATATATATATACATAAATATGTTTTACAAAAAAAAAAGTATTTAATGTATTTATATCAGTTGTCTAGTAGCCATAGTACAAGATCTGCTTATTATGGGACTAGATGGCGTTGTGTGAATGTGGTAGAATATTATTATTATTTAATATATGCTTACTGACTGCTTGATTTGCATTCGCAAATATCAGACAAGAGTATTTTGTTGTTTCAAACTCTTTAGGGCTCATTTATTTCGTAGTCGAATTTATTATATGTAAATCTCAGTTCATTTTATAACTTATTCCCAAAACCCATTACTGTTTTCTTGGTACTGTCTTTGGTTAGAGGTACGTGACTTTGTGTTACACAATATTTAACAATTGTGTTCATACACAAGCAGTTGTTTATTTACGCGTATGTTAACATATCTACTTGTTTATTCAAGAGAATTTCTGTTTAAGTGGAGGTGATTACAAACCGCCACGCACATTAAAGCTATGCGTAAGCGAATCTCGAGTAATAGAATGAATTTGTAGGAATTGCCTGGTCCTGGCTTTCCGTCAAAGGGATTAGTTGGGACTTTCCCCTTGTCGTCGCATCAACCTTATGGGATTATAAGACTGGCTACACAACCTTTGCCACATCGTGTTCAATTATTCCTTGAAAATAGAACGCTGGCGGAAAAGCTTTTTCAGAGCAAATACTTTTTTTTTGTTTACTCTGTTTAAAACAGGATTTGATGGTTTGTTTACAGTATACACATTTGCGTAGTTATAACTTAAGTATACAAAACCAATGCATAATTTCACGGTAGGTTTATTTTGCAATATTATTTTAAATATAACTACGATGAAGCAAACACAGTTTATGAAAATAATGAGGAATTTGTTTTTAGTTTCGATCAAAAAGAAATCCGAATCCCAAAGGACCATAACATTGTTTGTGTGTCTATCAATATATTTCTCTTAGAGACGCTGGAGGTCTTAAATTGAAATTGATGTAGGATATTTAAAGTTTACGAGTTCTTGTGTCAGAGCAATTTTTTTGACATTTGCGTTAAATATAAAAAAAAAACCGATGATTTTGCTTTAGCTTGTTGTAATTTTCATAATTTTCCACCTTTTGTGCCTATTTCAATTTGAAGCAGCACAATGTTTGGTAAAAGATTTTAGCTGAGTTATTAATATTGTTTATGACACGGACGTCTTCTTTAGGAATGCCATCGTTTCAAACTGCACCTAAAATAAGAAGATAAACTAGGGTAAGGGACAGCACAGGGAATCTAGAGGAGGTAGTTACCGTAGACTCAGATGGGTAACAGAAGTTCGAAGAGGCTGTTAATTAACAGGAGCATTAACTGACTAACAGATTTGTAGATATACCTCGTTTAGCAAAAAGATATGATGTTTCAATGCGACCCATGGATTGGTTATTTTCTACTTGCCTTTTGATTAAGTGTAGAGTAGAGCAAACCCTACTAAAGGGCTCTGGGCTCACCAAGAGCGATGAACGTAGTTTAATAAATATCGCTTTGACTTAACGACTTGTACCGGAACAAATGATCTTGCTCATCACAGAATTATTAGTTCTGAGTGGGAATCGAACCAACGACCTCCGGTTTAGCAGGCAGGTCAATAACCACATAACACGATAAAGTCAGAAGTTTGAAGACCTTCCCTCTTCCAAATGAATCTCTGCGTCTGTGATATTGACGTGTATTGATATTTGAACTTCTACTTCGATATTACCATCAGCCATTCATGGATCATATCCGCCAATAATCGCTTCTACATCGTGGTTTTCTATTTCTTGATCATTAAAATTATTAAATGCGAGAGGTCCAGCTAGTACGAAAACTTGGCCAAGGGCAGTTTTGAGCTCTGGTAACTTCCCTCACTCGGTAAAAAGCAACGAAAGAACCGCTTAACACCGGTTTTCTGTGAGGCCGTGGTGTCACTGCGGTCGAGCCAGCTCCCACAGTAAATAATGCTGATATACTTACTATAGTGTCTCCAAAACATCATATTACCTACATCGTAACGTCCTTGTGGAATTCATGATTTGAATTTTATAATAAAACTAGCTGAGACCCGCGGTGTTACCCGCGTTTCTTGTTATAACCGCGGGCAACGCTGCGGGGCGAAGCTAGTCTAAAAAAAGTAGCCTAAGTTACTCCTTATGTCATCAGCTATCTGCCAGTGAAAGTAGCGTCGAAATCGGTCCAGCCGTTCCAGAGATTACCCGGAACAAACAGACAGACAGACCGACAGACAGACAGACAAAAATTGAAAAAAATGTTATTTTGGCATATGTACCGTGTAAACATACATATGCATTTAGTAAAAAGCGGTTATTTTAATATTACAAACAGACACTCCAATTTTATTTATTTGTATAGATAAACTAATTCTGCCAAACCTTTTTCCTAAACTAGGTTGGGTCGGCTTTAAGTCTACTATGATACGGCTGAACTTCGATTTTTTACGTGGAGTTACTGCCATTAGACCTCTACATCAAAAGTACTGGGTGATATCATAGTTCTGTACATTGACTGGTCGAACTTTTAAGACGCCACAGTTATTCGTATAGAAACCGGGACCGACGGCTACACGTGCTCTCCGAAGTACGTAGAGGTCTCAATGTGTTAAGAATGGTCACCCATCCATAGACTAACCTGGCTCGGATTGCTGAACTTTGCCATGTGTACCTACTCGGTTACCACTTAACCACGAGCCCATACAAGTAATAAAACAAACATTAGAAGTTTATTATCTATATTTTATACATAAATTCTTTGTTATTAAACACTTCGTTATAACTTTTTTACTAATTTGACATAGATTTTTAATACATTAAAAACATCCACTAATTAATGGAATTCCAATTTCGTACTTAACCAAATATTTGGTAGAATATTTGGTCAAAATTATATTGTCTCGGCTCAATACGTCCCACATAACACTAATGTATAATTTAAAAAATGCAACATTGTAATGATCATTTTTATGAAATTTCAAATCTTAAAGTATCTAAATACTATTGTAGGTAGTATTAAAACCTTACACGGTACATATAGAAAGTTAATTAGATATCAGTTGAAGTAGCGTGTAGCTTTGGCTCATTGAAAACATTCCTTACATTATAAATATTATTTTGATTTATCGTTAATATATCGTTTAATATATCAATAGAGCGACAGATACGGCTCTAATACAAGGATATCAACGAAACACGAGTATATTTAGTAAAAATTTTATCGAAGAAGATGTTGTCTTAAGTTTCTAAACACATAGGTAGGTACTCTAAATATGCTTCAGTATATATTCAGTACAAACTGTTCGGTTATAAATATTTTCACTACAAACATTTTAAATGTATCCAACGATTATATAAGCGTAGAAACCGCTTTGTTTGTTGTATATTTGAGGGACTTAAAGGAAAGTTACAGAAATAAGAAGATGATAAAACTTCAGTCGCATTGAATAGCTACTAAATTATACAATAATTATAATGAACTATCTTAACTTACACAAATTATTTACATCTGTTTTAGTAAACTTAAGAGAATCACAAATGCACCCTCGTAATTGTAAGCACATTCATTCCTATATACATTTATTATAATTATTGATTGCTTTCAATTTTATAATATTTCTAATAAATACTTAAATTTCATTGCATCTTATTAAAATCAAGAGGAAATTTGAATTTCTTTAATAGCAATTTGAATGTAATATTTTTCTTTTAGAATTCTAACTGTTGCATTTCTTTGGTAATGATTTAAATTGGATTGCTGGCACTATTTCATTATCTCGTAAGGATATTTTGAAGCTGTTTTATAAGGTTTTGACACGTTTTTATAATGTTATGATAGCTCATTTATAAATTTAAACTATTTAATCGGTTACAAAATTTCAGATTATTAAAATTCAGTCAAGTTGACTGAATTCAAGAACTTGATTCGGGTACTTCAAAGGTAACATCAATAAATATTTAGACGTAAATAGATCTTTGTGTTACAAATATATATATATATATGTAGGTATAACTTGGAATGTATAGGAAATATGACTTCTTTAATATAACATAAATACATTTGTTAAAAAAAAACTATTGAAGAGGCTTAAGAAATTTTAATACTTTGTTTTAAAAAAGGCACAACGGATTTAAAATTTAATTTAAGAAGAATTTAAATGTTTTAAAGAAATGTCTTTGCAGCATACTGTTACAAGACCTTATTTAATAAACATTTAATAGAATAAAAAGTATTGCGAGTGGTATTGTGTTATTGGGTCTATCGACTTATTTATTTTGGGGATACCCGATTGGTTTCAGACCACACAGGAGTCCCGACACCATTTGACGCCTGACACTGTAGGACCCTTCATACCTTGAAAAACTGGCAACGTCGTCGTCGGTTCCGATACTGGGCAAGCCTGGCCTTAATACACACTTGAGTAAAACTGTATAGCTTCAATAAAAAATATAAATAGAATTTTTAACTCTACAAAGAAATTTTAATATTAAAAATTATAGTGGTTTATCAAAGACCTAAACTCCGTTTAAAAGCGCCAACCTTTATTAAATCCTTATTAAATTAATGGCAGTGTATGTATTTAAGATTGTTGGGGTAAAAACTACTTTGGTCTTTAAAAAGTTAAAACGCGATGACGCAAGGTTATCATTAGTTTCACATTCAACAAGGATACCCAAACTTATTGCATTTACATACATTACGTATAATGATGAAAAACTTACAAATATCGGTTATTCGTAACCGTAAAAGCTTTTACCCAAATATCCGAGTAAAATTAATCTCATTTAGCTAATCAGCCATACAAAACGCAAATTGACTCAGTAATAACATTGGACGTTATTTAATTCTCCGCAATTCTCACAAAACAGAAAGAAAGGAAAATCATAAAATATGTGTAAGCACAGCTGACTCTTGTAGCTCCGCCAGTAAGACGAATATCACTTTCTAATACAAAAGGCTCGTCGATAACGTGAATAATGCCGTTGGTACACTCGACGTCAGGTCTAAACACATGGATCCAGTGACCATTCCATTCAACGTAATAATCTGTGGAATAAACAAATTTGTTTAATCTAAAATCTCGATTAAACTCGACTTACAAATGTTATCGTTATAAATAAACACAGATAATAATGTAAATGAATTGTTAAAAGCTTACTCTTATCTGATTCTTTGACACGCAGCTTGAGTGGATCGCGTGTAGTTGGTAGAACGAAGGGATGTGTTTCATTTGCAAGAAGTTTTAAATCAGATACTGTGTACGCTCGTCCCGCTCGGATAACATGTCGCTCTAAAATTTGCTTCGTCTGAAAATTGCAAATGATGAAGAAAATAGAATCCTACTCGTACAATATTATGGTTCATATACAGAAAGTTAGTGTTGAAACTTACGAAATAACCGATTTCTTCTCTGAACAAAGCTTTGAATGCCGAAGGATGCTTTATTTGAAATTTAAGCCAAGCATGATCACGAGGTACAAAGTAGGTGTAGCGGCTTTCCATGTCGTTAAGTTGCTGGTTAAACATTTGACGTTTGCCCAAGTTGTAGGTGATACTGAAATAACATATGCTAAACTTATTACTGTTATTCAAGTTATTGAAACGTAATTAATCTTTCAATTCGGAAATTTAGGTAGAAAGGATAAATTTATAAAAGTCACTTACTTCAACATAGGATCAGTTTCCAACTTCTCGAATACTGTTGTGTAAGGGATCCCTAATACTCTATCGATTATGTGAATAAATCCATTGGTAGCGGCTATGTTAGGCAAAGTAACGGTAGCATTCACTCCACCCCCTTCTACGGTCAAAGTTTGATTTTGACCTCGAGTGAGAACATTGAAGTATAAGTATTTACGGGCAGAAGCTGTCGGTGCTTGATAGATCTAAAATAATAAAATACCACTTAACGTAACTTTAAAATGTTTCTCTCCAACATCCATGCTTTGATTTAAAAACATGTAAACCGAGATTTAAACACAAAACACAAATTCAAACCTCTATGGAAGTAGAATAGGTAAAACTATTTTAACATAAAGAGACATAGGTAATTGTATTTCAAATACCTACATGCAATCATAAATTTGTCAAATTAAACATACTGGTATACCTACGAACATTCAACCATTACCAAAAATACATTGTAAAATAATACATGTAAAATGAATTGTATTTTAAAAATGAATAAACGTACAGTTCCGGGGACCTGGTTTCCAGTAGCAGCAACGAAACCAGAGAATTAAATTGTGTACACGATATTAAGTTAAATCACAATTTAATTTTATATTCTATATTTGTGGCTTTTGCACACTTCCAGCCACAATTGTAATCATTCATATATTAAGTATCTCAATTAACAATAAGGTAAATGGAAAAATAATTTACCTGATTCATGTTGTTGTGAATTATAGCATCTAGAGGAAGCCTTTCTCGTACCAAGTGTAGTTTTAATATTTCTGGAAGTCTTTTATGATCTCTGTAAAACATATTTTTGTTTTATTTTTCACTTATTATTATCAATGATAACTCCTTCAAGGTAAAAAAAAAGAATAACGGTATTTTTTATCTCTATCTCTATCTAGTTCCAAAGAGGTAGACAGGAATGTTTTATATGCCCACAGGTTGCCAACTACAATTTAGTGATATTTGTGTGCACTGCAAATAGAAGGAAAACTTGAAACAGTCACTATACGAACCCGTCTGGCAAGCGTGGTATAGTAGGGCAAAACTTCCTTTCTAAGGATGATGTAATAGAGGGCAAACGTTTTGCCGTTTGCTGGGCACTTAGAAGGAAGATGATAAAATAGGCAATATAATGAAAGGGTGAGACATTGTGAGATAAAATGGATATTATAACTGGTTAAATGTAAGAAATGCTCGATTAGATCAGGATCGCATACCAGTAGCTGTAACTGGACAGTTCGAAAGTAAAAAGTCCAAAATTTAAAGAAAGAAAAAAAGTTCTAACCTAATAATATTTTGGACACTAAAATCTGCCCAGGCTTCATTCGATGGTGCGAACAAAGTGATGTCCTTTGCCAAATTCAGCTCGTTGAAGAACTGGTTGTTAGGTCCTAGGTCCATGATTACTTCATAGAACTTGTAAAGAGGTCCGTCTTCTTTTTCCTGTTAAAATTATTTTATTACTTGCACAGAAAATAATAACAGGGCAGAGAATCTTACTAATCTCTTATCTGAATAATCTTTTAAGACTTTTTGTCGAGCCTTTTCTTACTTAACTAGCTAGTTTATCAAATGTCCTTTGTAATTAATTCACCAACTGTTCCTTGGAGAAAATGCGTAATTAACTCCGCTTAAGATTTAAGACGTACCATATTGTTTTCAGTCATGAAATACACGGTCTAAATAATTTAAATACAAACCGTATTTTACCTTGCCAGGCTAATCTAGAGAGAATAACGCAGAATACTTGACAAAAAAGATAGTATTAAAAGTGTACAATACAAGAATTTGTTAATTAAAATTAGGACAAACGGTAAGGGTCCTTAAACATGCAGTTATGCCGGTAGGTACTTACAATTCCCTAACGTTGTCAAGATCATGCGGGAACAGCAGGATCCAACGGAGCAGGGATGCACAAACAAACAAGATAATAACAAATATCCATTATACCTACCTCCTGTATTGAAAGGCGATATCGGTATATATCAGGTAAGTAAAACATACTTTATAATCATATATATACATATATGTTAAGTATCGACTTTAAATATTATAAAAAATATGTTATAATGTCTAATCTACAAAGGTTTCATCACTTTTACAAATTCCTAATTTTTTTTGTATATAAATCTCGTAAAACTATTTATGTTAGCAAGCCCTATATATTTATGGATCTAATGATCAAATATATTAATCTATGTCATTATTTAATGGTATGGACACTACCAAATAATGTTTCTATGGCATTAAATGAAGCTTGAATTATTATAGTATCACTTTTAAAAATACGCTTAAATGCACACAGACAAAATTGAAATACGTGCTTCAATTATATATTTCTAAGGAAAATGTACGTAATGAAGTAACAGGACACACAAAGATTTATAATAAAATGGTAATAAATACACTCTGTTTTACCTTCATAGCCTGGTTCCCATTAAAATGGAGGCGGAAAGTCAATCATGTAATTGTAATATAATATTTGTTTTAGCTTAAATGTATTAGAAAAATTAAACTCACAAATAAATTTATATTAGTTTCTTGTTAGTAAGTGTTTATATTTCCTTGATAGTAAAAGAAATAAGAGTATAGTGTTATATTGTACTCACCTTGAGAAAATCGATTACAGTAGTATCGACTACCATTAACGGTCTTTGAATCAGATGAACTACGCCGTTTTTGACTGGAATATTTGCTCTTACGATGTCAGCTAAGACTACGCCTCGAGCGTGTTTTGCATCTCCAGCCACCGTATTAGATTTTACGTAAGCTGTGTGAAGAAAAAAACAATCGAACTCAAACAGCTGTAGGTTAAACTAGAAAGTACCTACAAATTTGTATCTCCAATGATCTACTTGTGCTAATATTATCTACCGTTTTTTTTTATTACACTATGTATTAAGTGAGTTGTGTAAGATATATCCGAAAAGGTTTGATATTTAATATCTTCTATTTAGATCCATTTATGATCAATCAATATATGTTCATTCAAATGGTAAATTAAACAGCATATGTATTTTTATTTATTCTCTCTAACATATACATTCTTTTAAATTCTTAATTTGTCTATGTATTAGTTCTTTTGTAGAAATATACTAGTAATTCATTGTTGGTAATTATCCAAGAGTGTATCTCTTACTACACATACTTATTAAATTACCCGTTGCGAATGTTACGAAAAGGGATCTGGAATTAAAAAAAGAAATCACTTACTTCAAAAAAGAAAATGTCTTTAACTTACTTATTTCCTCATTCCCATTCATAGTCGTGCTGAATGATATGATCACCTTAACATTATCACCAAAGGCTAACGTTTCAAATTCCTTGCCATCAGGTGTAGCGTGGGTGAAGAGTACGTGATGGGGAATGACATGCCCATCTATGACCTTTTCATCTATAAGGTCAGATCTAGTGGTTGGCTGAAAATCGTAGGACTTAGTTAATATCGACAGGCCTGTTGGCTCTAACGGTTAGTGATCCTTACTGCTGATTCAGAACTCGAAGATTCGATTCCCAGACAAACACTGTCTGTGACTGTCTGACTGTCTTTATAAAATATATCTATTATATTAATCTATTATAATACTACTGTGCGCTTTTAGAGATTTTATTTCCGGACCAATACGATCTTCAAACCTTCAAGAAAAGAGCGTACTCCTTCCTAAAAGGCCGACAACTCGTTTGTGATTCCTGAGTTGCAGACGTTCATGGGCGGCGATGGTCACTTTTCATCAAGTGACACGTCTGCTCGTCTGCCCCCTCTAACATAAAAAAAAAACAAAAAAATTAAGTATGTAGTTAGTTACGTATAATAATATATAGGCATGTTTATCGGTAGTATGTTTACTATATTACAAACTTTGCCTGGTTTGGAATAAGAAGTGAGGTCTCAGAATTTATTATTGTGAAACATTTGTATTAGAATATACTTTCTTGATATATATTTTTTCTCAAAGACCTTGTTTATTACTAAGAAATAAAAAAAAATCGATACGCATCTTTAACTTTCTAACGAACAGGGATGTTGACACTAAACACTCAAACTTAAACAAATGTATTAAAATTGATCGGAAAACGTCAAAGTTATAACAAGCAAATACAAATTTATCCAACCAACATATATGCCAATCGTCACTTAACCAATGACTAATCTAACAGTGGTATGTTACAGGCAGAAATTCTCGTACATTTGTACTCTGTAGAGAATTGTCAGTTTGTCAGCTAGTTATGTAATCAAATGGGAAACGAGTTGCGTGACCAATTTGAAAGCAACTTTATTATTTAAAAAGAATAAAATATATTTTATACTAAATGTTAAATAAAAGTTCAACCATAAAAAACACATGTCAATAATTTTACATCAAAAACAAAAGTAAGGTTTGTATTTAAATTAACATAATAATCTTATAGTTCGGACATTTCAGTCTATTTTCTTTTACTTTTAAAATTACCTTGAAACCTTCATCGACTGGAATAAAGAAGGTGTGGCGTCCGTCTGTGTCAAATACTTTGCTCTTTTTAAGCTGGTTAACTTTCTGTCTAAAAGATCTGTAATATATAACGTTTATTTAGTATGATCAAAAATATATAAAAGGTTTATAGAGTTATTGTTTATTTATTTGTGGTAAATATATATAATAAATAACTCCCCCCCTCCTCCCATGGGAACCTATAACGACGACGATCCGTGAATTTCGTTCAAGACAAAGCTCTTGTTACCCTCAAATATTAATGGTAAATTGTTCTATAACATTGTTTATCAATCAAGTCCCTTAAGTTAAAAAAAAAATTCTTGTTTCTTGTCTTCGTAAATAAAACAGGAGGTTTCAATTAGGTTATATTTTTTAAAATATTGTTACCTCAGAACTCTGTCAGTTCTAAAACGAGGGTGAAGCTCTAAGACGGTATACTTTAAGTTCCATTCAAATTTGCAGGAAAAATACCATCCTTAAGGGTGGCAAATTAAGTTCTACAGTTTATTACATCATCTACATTGTGATGAATATTCATCATAATGTAGAAGTGTGATACTTTTTTTTAAAGTTAAGTATTAAATACTATTTTTTTTAATTCTGCCATACCCACTGCAGCTTTCGCTGCAATTATTCCCATTAATCGTTGCCTTGTTGGCTAACAAAACGTATAAAAAGTAAAATTTCACGATAATTCAGTTTGGCTCGAGTTTGCTCGTAATTGAAACACGCTAGACGGTAATTAATTTTAAACTTGTTGCATAATGAGCGTTTGTTTAACCAACTTTTTGTAAATACCTCATAATCCATGACGTGTACTTAATAAGCATGAAAGGGTTACTTTTAAAAGAACCCTTATTTTTTTAATAAATGAAACCCCGTACAGCTTATTCATGTAAAACGTTATTGGCTGAAACAATTTCTTGTTTTTAAAAGCGTCTTATAACATAAGTAGTAATAGCAAGAGCTCTCTACGGCCATTTTATATCTTGAAATAGTTTTTTTTTAATCCTTCATAAGAAATTGCTTGGAACAAAGTGAGAATATAAATTACCTGAGGCGATATTGTCCGATGTTGAAGAGATCGGAGTGTTCCAGGAAGTGATATGCATTAGGATTGTAGACGGGAGAGCTGATTGAGGGACCGTGTGGTTGTAACGGCTGCAAAACTTGATCTACCACGTGCAGCACCTTAAATAAAACAATTGGCTTAGACCTTCGAATTAGAATCTATCAAGTCCACGGGCCTGTTGTTCTTTCTAGTGGTTAGGGACTGACACTGACTGTCTTAGGTTCAATTCTCATCTAGAATAAATAAATTAGTGATGAGTTCGATTAATTTTTCTGTGTTTGGATGTAATTTATCCATAAAATGTATGTTTTCAGAAATATATAAGTATGATTGTCAGCAGTCTGGTAACCATAGTGCAGGCTCTACCCAGATTGGGGTTAATTGAGTAATCGACGTACAGGCCTATACCGCGAGTTTAAAGAACCTTGGCTTTACTAGGGGCTCGTTCGTGCTGATCGACTAGCGAGCAAAACAGTCCTATCTAAACGAGAATAGACACAACATGTTTTGATCGGAGTCTGAAGACTTTTGTTATGTCGGTATAATATTGCATACCACTACATTAAAAAAAAAGCGAAAACATCCTAGAGTTTGCGTTTGGTATACGGTCTATGAGGTGGATACCTAGCATGGCCCGCTCCATGGCGTTTTGAGTAACCCATATGGCATTCATGTGCTCGTTTGTGAGAAGCCATGTTTCCATAAGTGAGAATAGTCAGAACACATTGGTTGAATGTCTTGGTTCTCAGACATTGCGGGATTTTGGACTTAGTCGTCTTCCAATTTTCCAAAAGCAGTCCACCCCAGTTGAATACGCCTAGTGATTTTGCTCAACCTGGAACTCTGACCAAAGATAGACGATGACCAAGGTAAATATACTGCTCTATTGCTTCTGTGTGTTGGTCTTAGACATGTTCATCCTGTGGACGACGCTCAATGAAGTCACATGCAATTCGGCGAGCGTGATCTGGTGTTCTGCGGTGGACTCGGCAACGAGAATGAGATCATCGGCAAATCGCAAATGTGGCATGTTGTGGCCATTGATGTTAATGCCTTTCTCCTCCCAATCCAAAGTTTTTATGATGTCCTCCAAAAGACACGTAAAGAGGGGTGAGATCGTATCCCCTTTACCCACGAGTGAAAATGATTAAAGATAATATAATAAAGTTAAAAATATTTCGAAACGGTTGCATAAAGCTTAAGGATCCAGTATATATTTTTACCTGTACTGCTACAAAAGTGCATAAAATGATAGTTCAAGTGTACTGGTCCTGAAATAAAAAAGTTATCCAAAACGATAAGGTTGAAATTCAACCGCCAGGCGATCTCTAGTTTATTTAATTAGCTTACGAGCTCTATCCACTATGAAATGTACAAGAGTTAACCACGGCTATAAAACCTCAGAAACCGATATCTGACCTTCATGCACGTATACGGTATAAATTCTTTATTGTTGGCAGCATTTATAAATGAATATATAGACTTATTTATAGACATAGAAAATGCTATTTTTGCAGTTTAACATTTTTTGTCTGTGTTGCTCGTAAATGTATGAAGAATTTGTGCCGATTCATGGTTTTTAAGTGGATGATATCGTCAGTAATGGTAGTAATTTTAGTTTCTTTTGGAGCTCATCACAACGTTGTGTGTGTACTATCCCTACCTGATAATATCTGATGTCGGAGACAGACTGATGTAGGGTTATCTCAATAGGGTTCAACTCACAAGAGGTTTTTACACGGAAATAAAAGCCTTGTGCCAAATATTATAGGCACTTTACGCCCATTCCTACCCAGATTCAATAAAATATAAATAATATGTTTTAAAGCACTTAATTATCTTAATTGTAAATTCCGTACAGTGACGGTAAACACTTACATTTGTAATTTTTCTTTCATCCATCGAAACTCACATTTATAATGTATACCTACGTATATATGCGAAAGTTTGGAAAACAAGAAAGAGGCTGAACAGATCTGAGTAAAATTTTACATAGAAATAGAAACAATGATTGACAAAATCGACAAATGTGTAAACGACGCCGCGGAAAAAAAGTAGTAAAACATATGTATAGAGTTAACCCACCTCATTCCCCAGGGAAAATATATCATTTAGCGTGTAGTGTAAATTAGTTCAAATATAAACAGCGTTTACGTACCACTAGGTCAGTGAAACCATAAAATTTCAGCCTATAATCCTCAGTTCAATATCCGTCAGTTACAAAATACCCGTCGGATAAAAAGTCAATAGCTAGTCTGTTTTTTTTAAGTGAAACTTCTTAAGAATCATTGTGATTGTGAACTCGATGAAACGAAAATGCGTCACGATGAAGAAACATATAGGATTAAGTCGGCGAGAGAATGAGATAGAATACATTACACATTATTTTTACTATAATATTTTGACAGTGTTTTTTTTTCTTTTTATTTAATACTAGCTGGTACCCGCGACTTCCTTCGCGTGAGATTCGAATAAAGCTGCCTTAGTGGGTTTGAGGGCCGGGCAAAATTTAATAGAGTTTTTTCTGAGATAAAAAAAGAAAAATAATTTTTTCGGAAGTTTTACTTCTGCCTAGTGTGAATTGCACACACACACACTTTTTTATCTCTGTAACAAAACTGACAAAACCTAGCAAACCCACGTTGGGTTTGCTAGGTTTTGCAATTATTAAATAGCGATGTATCATTATCGGAAATTAACGTTAATAAAATCAAGTTATCGTGTTTTTAATAAATTATCCTGAAAAAATGTGAAAGTATTTATTTAAAGCATAATTATACCAAATTATGCAAATAATAAGCAAAACGCTCGATGAAAACCAACCACGAGAACAAGCCGGTTTCAGACGAAACTTTTCGACCCTGGACCATATACACACGGTGAAACAAATAGTAGAGAAATACAACGAATATAATAAACACCTATATATGGCATTCATCGACTACTCTAAAGCTTTCGACAGTGTTTATCAGAAAGCAATATGGGAGAGTCTGGAACAACAAGGGGTCCCGCCAAAGTACATTAAAATCATCAAGAACATTTACTCAAACACCGAAGCAAGATTACAAATAGAAACCCTAGGTAAAAAGTTCAAGATCATGAGGGGCCTAAGATAGGGAGACCCTCTGTCGCCGAAACTCTTCTCAGCGGTTTTAGAAAGTATCTTCCGCAAATTGAACTATTTAACTATTTGTTTAGGCTTCGGCCTAAACATACACGGTGCTAAACTAAACCTAAACTTAAAAAATATTCTTTTTATAATTTGATATATAATATAATAATACAATATAACATACATAATAACATATACAATATAGAACTCCCGCACTAGGAATATATCTTACACATACATGAAACGGACACAAAGAATACATAGACTCAGAAAAACAATTTGTGGCCCACACAAAGTGTAGTCCCGTGCAGTGATCGAACCCACATCACTCAGCGCAGTACGAAGCGACGAGGTGGAAGAAGATCACTTGACGAAGCCCTTCTTTAAAAAGGCTTCGTACTTCATTCAATTTGAAGATTTTATTGTTCGTAAGCACATCCCGCTTTACTTGAGACCAGACCAATTCAATCGGGTTAACCCACAGTGGTAAGGGGTAGGCACAAAATAGGGACACCCTGTTGAGCAGCCATCTCGTTGACGTCATACCTTTCATTTGGCTTTTTTCTGCGTTCGGGAAATTTCAAACATTTCATGTCTGACGAAGTTTCTTCATAAGGAATATTTTTTCATTTTAACCTATCTTGAATTTGCCATTTTCATCATCAAGATATGTGTATAACGTGAATTGATTCGTTTTGGAATAGAAACCCTGGAAGTTAATCGTCTAATAAAGATAAAAAGTTACGATTCAATGAATGTACGGATGGCGTAGTGGTTTAAGCAGTCGCCGCGCCGCTCACTACTACACCGAGTGTTTGTTGTACTACACCATGTATGTTTGTATAGTCCCCCGCGACACAGGATATATTCCTAATGCGGGAGTTGTCTTTATAAAAGAAAAAAAAAACTAAACGAACTGGTACTGTAGGTACATCACTACGCAAAAGAGCTGGCTCCATTAATTATAAATTTGACATTTGTATTGTATGTGTCAATTTTGTCACAGAGATAAAAAACAGACTATAGTGACGTCACTAACAGCATGACATCACAAATTATGGGCTATGTAAGACACAAAATCATTGGCCTTGTTTAATGTTGAATATGTTGGAATAAACAATTGTTTATTTCACATGCATTATATCAAGTAACACTTCATGAAGTATGTATTGTCTGAACAATTCAATAGAGTTTTCAAAAAGCTCGAACCATGAGCCTGAAACGAGTCAATACTCTATCTTCCAACACTTTATCGGAAACAATTGTACAGAACTAAGTTTTCTTTAAAAGAACAAGTACTTACTTCAGGTTTCAGTAAGTTTATTTCTACTTTAAGTTCTGTATGTACACTACTGCTACATCTGCAGCTACAAGGCTTATGGAGCCTTACGGAAGGTATGAAGGTAAATTTGATTTACTTGAGATTTGTTTGTTCGTAATGTTAGGATTTATTACAATATCAATAATTTTTTTTAATTTATAAAATTTATAAATAAATATAAATTATATAGAAAATTCTCCGGATATTTGGAATTTCCAAATATCTCTCGCTTCGTACCGTGTACGAAGAAGTACTGTAGTCCCAAGAAGAATTAGCGTCGGGCAAGCGGCCGGCCATAAAAGAAAAAGTCAAAACCATTTAGCAATAAAATTAAGGAGTTATAAATTCTAAGAAGGTTGGTTGCGGTCACTGTAGTGGTAGGCGAAGAAGAAGCTAAAAACCAGTTATCCCTTTTTGCATCCTTCAACATATTAGACACCACCAATAACATGCACAGCTGTCATGCGAAAGCCACAAGCTCGGCATATGTCATAAGTCAAACTAAGGGCTTCCGATCATTTTTTCACTTACTAAATTTAAACCTTAAATATTCTTAAACCTTTCACCAATTCATTCGAAATCAGGTATTCTCGTTGAGCAGAAACACTTTAGTAAAGCTAAACCAGTATCCAGGCTTTTTTCTTTTTATTACTTTTCTTTACTTTATTGTCACTGTGGCTACATTTGATGCAATGCAAGAAAATTTATACAGCAAATATTTTTTAATCTAGGCTGATATTTCTGAATTTTACATTAGTCCTGAATTAATTGACTTTAAAAATATCTTGAACTCTAATAAACAAAACTAGTTTTCAGTAAAGAGGAAAAATTCAATATAAATAACATAAAAAGTTATTTAAGAAACAAGGTGTAGACTGCTGTTATTATAAAAAAAAAACTGTTTACTACTCAAATAAAAACCTTCCACTATTCAGATACCTAAGACTTTATCTAAGACTTTTTTGAAGTCTGTCTGGATCTAGAAGTTCTTAGGTTAGTTTCTTTAATACGGTGCCCAGAGTACTAATAGAGTAGGAAGAATAATAATTTCATCTCGTACGTAAAGTAGTTAAATGATGATGAATTTAATTTTTCTTGTCATCAATATTTTAGATAGGTATTTTATAACAGGTAGGTATTTCATAATAGGTATTATAAAATACCTACTAATTAAAAATAGCGTGGTATAGTAGGCCAAAACCTCCTTTTTACACACTTTATATTAGCTTCACTTCTATGTTTCTTTGTATGTTTGTAACCGCCTCCTTTGGGCGTGATTTTGACTGACTTTAAGCGGTCAGAATTCATTCAAACTTTGTAGATATATCGAGGACCGATGACAATACACTAAATTAAAAAAAAAAAAAGGGGTGGGGTGCTTTTTACTATTGACAACCGGTACCAAACGCTTTTTTTCAAATTTATTAAAATTTATTTTCTATTTTTTAGTTTGGTTTTCTATGAAAGCGTGTTTTTTTGTTTTTTTAAACTTTTTTTTTTAAGTAGAGTCCTATGTCCAGCAGTTTACTGTTATTTATCAAATGTGTGATAGTTACTTTAAATCAACGTAGTTCTTCTGTGCAGAAGCCACACTAATACACATTCAAGGTGTAATGCATTACAGTGATTCAGCTTAGTAAATTGACCTTGATAGGGTGAAGATCTTGTAATAGTTGATTGGAATGGAATTAGTGTATCTACAATTTTTGCTAGGAGATTCTTTTACTAATACATCTACTAATCCCCTTATAACGTTACCCAAGAATTGTAAAATAAGGAGATTCAGCATATTTTTTTCTTTTTCTTTTCTTTTTTTATTCTTTTTTTAAAAGACAACTCCCGCACTAGGAATATATCCTGTGTCACGGGGGGATTTTACAAATATTCATGAAACGGACACAAAGAACAATTTGTGGATCACACAAAGTGTTGTCCTATGTGGGGATCGAACCCACAACACTAAGCGTAGTAGGAAGCGTCGAGGTGACCGCTTAAACCACTACACCATCCTTGTATTCATTTGAAATTCAATAGCCTGCTATCTGTTGTCTGCCTTACTCACTTGCTTGAATATGGAGCAAAGGAATAGTCGGTAAAAAAAATAAAAGAGCAATACAACTTGGGTAAAGATTAATGTAGAAAAGATGACTAGACTCGGTTTCTAAGTAAGTGAATACTGATATGCCATCTAATAGAAACTAATGGCAGACGATAACGCATTACAGAGACAGTATAGACACCTATTCATGTTATAGGTATTCGTAAAAGGTGAGTATTCAAAAAAATTGGGGTTACTTTTGATATTTTGCAGTTTTGGGATTGTATTGACGAGCCTAATGTTGTGGTACCTACATTATACTGACTGCTAAATCAGAGGCCGTGGTTTCCTGATTTATCCGACCCAGAATGAAAAAACTCGATGACAGCTTTGTATTATAAATATTTTTATATTTAGTATATAACGAAAATATTATAAATACAACACAAAAGAGTTTTAGTTTCGTCTTTCACAAACTTCTCCTTTACTGCTTGCAATAGATTTGCAGATTACACTGATCAAGTATTTTTTAAAGTTGGTACTATTAAGAGTTGAAGCTGAAAGAAGCTATCAAATCTGCCGTCCTGTATGCATCTAATAGTAGGTTCACAAAGAGAACGGCTGAGAAAAGGCTGCACGTAACGGAAATGCGAATGTTGACATGGATATATGGTGTGACTAGAATGGAGAAGTAAATAGATCGATGTACCGTGAGAATATATTTCCCTACTCATCAATAACTGTTCATGGACGATTTAAATTACAGATTTATCGGACGGAGATACGGCACGGATATGGCAGATAGATGAATCTGAAAAAAATATGTTGGGTAGTAATAAAAAAAAAGGTTTTATCCGTCAGTTAATATTACGATTTAATCTGCTACTGTATTACGATTTCAGAAACATAGTACATGAGCAGAGTGGTTTTAATAATACCGTTTACCTAACAGGTAAAAAAAACGGTTTATGATATAATTTTATAGAGCATCAGGTCCTGCCAGGTTTAGACTTGCCACCTGCGAATGAGAGACCTACCTGGAGTCTACGTGTAGCTAAAATGTTTTTGTGTAGCTAAAATGTGAATAGGATGGACAAGGTAGATCGACTGTGTAAAAAAGATATGGGCGATAAAAAGAAGTGAAATGGCGAATGATAGAGAAGCATGGAAAAAGAAAATATTAGAGCTAAGCCCAAATATATTTGAGAAAATGATGATGAGATCCGTGATAAAATATGTCAAGTTGAAAAAGTTTTTAACCTACAAGAATTATTAATCATGTTATAGCTGCTTGCCTAAACTTAATTTGTATAATATTATTTATACATACGAATACGAGTTAATTAATCACACTTTCACGCTTAAGTTACAAGATCAACGTGTAATTTTCCATACACGGCATCGACGTTGCATAAAAGGGCATGTGATGTGAAGAAGTAGTGCTGTTACCAAAGGATAACTGTCTTGATTGAAAAATCGACATTAAAACTGTAGGAAAAGCTAGTTAGTAAGACTTACTTGTAATTTATTGTTTTCATTAATGGCCTGGTAAGATCTGCTAACGTAAACTTTTGCGTTATTAACGTAGATGTCGTTGTGCATGGAGTCGTGGCGCATCGTCACCCACAGCGGTGGGTTGCCGTCGAGATCTGTCGATATCGCGTAGTCCATGTTTGATAGCGTTGTTGCCAAGTTTGCTGAAACAAATATATGGAGTTATTTAAAGATATACATATATGTGTATAGCTTTAATTATACATCAAATTTATTTATATATATTTTTTTTATTTATATATTTTTAAAGACAACTCCCGCATTACGAATATATCCTGTGTCACGGGGGACTTTACAAACATACATGGAACGGACACAAAGAACACCCAGACTCAGAACAACAATTTGTGGATCACACAAAGTGCCGATCCATGTGGGGATGGGACCCACAACACTCAGCGTAGTAGTGAGCGGCGTGGTGACCCCTTAAACCACTACGCCATCCGTGCAGTCAAATTATATTGTATATTTATAATTGTATATACAATATGAAGTAGTCATAATTGATTTAGCTATTCGGTTAAAGGAAACCGATAACTTGGATCGTTAGTTACTTATAATAATTATAAACCGGTAAAATGTGTATCCAGTACTAAATATAATATAATTGTGGCACTTAATAATATGTTTATACAAATATAAAAATTATATTTAAATTAAATTTTAGTGTCCCACCCAAGAAAACAAAACAATCATTTCGTGAGAAAAATATGGGGATAAAAAAAAAAATGCTAGTCTTTAGTAGGTGATCCATTTGAGCACAGCTTAACTGAACTAAATAATTATTTATTGTACGTATTAAAAAGAGATAGATTAGAAAAATCAAACGTTGCTCGAAATAACGGTGAAAATAGGATTATAGAAATGCTTCTTTTGACAGAACTGCGTCCGTCGGTAATCACTAGATTAGCGACAGACACAGTTCTGCCAATATTACAATACATATATTATTATTCTTTCTTACAATATTTTTTTATTTATATGATATAAAAATAAAAAAAATATTGTAAGAAAGTAACTGTCAAATTCATGAAACTCTATGTCCGTTCAGAAACGAAAAACACAAAGTAAGTATGTTCTATTATATTATATTATATTATATAGATACATACATATGTGAAAAACTCAAATCGTTTCAAAAGCCTATTTTAGCAAATTGGTTAACCTCAGGGTTATTTACCTTTTTGGTTGATGAATTGATAACGCAGTGATGTGTTTAAATTTTTTAGCTCTGTTAGTATAGCGGCCGAAACGATGGTTACGGCGAGTTCTTTTTGTAACTATTAGGGCAATCGCGCACTAGTGTTCTTTAATCGGATTATAGTTTGATTATTTTTAGGAATCAGTATGAAGCTGCACGAACACGAACAGAACGTTCGACACCTTTGTCATCAAAATATTAACCAATCAACTTCGATTGTAAATTGTGTGCACTTGCAAGTGCGTACAGTACATTCATCTATCGATCCCGAACTATCGTACGACTATCGATTGATCGCACAATCCATAAGTAATGCGTGTGCGCACTTTGTAATTTGACGTCAATCAATAAGTCTAGTATGGGAGATATTTTTACGCTACGTTAAATATTTTTTAGATTCTTATGTAGGCGAGCCATGTTTCGGCATAGACTGGCTCGACCGGAGTTAAGCAATTCTTTTTATTTATATTTACACTTCCTGCATTACAACTTGCACGAGTCGGACGTAATGCCACATGTCATTATTAACCAGTCAACCTTGAGATGGTTACATTAACGGACTTGGCAGGTGCACATGTATTATGTAAAAAGAAGAGAAACTATGAAAATAAAACATTAATTTGATAATACTATTTAAAATACATAGACAAATACATAAATAAATATTATTATATTATATATACGAAATGAACTAAATGCAATAATCTTTTTTTCTTCCTTTTTTTTAAAGACTTCCTGTGTCGCGGGGGTCTTTACAAACATACATGAAACGGACCGAACCCACAACACTCAGCGCAGTAGGAAGCGGTAAAGTGACCGCTTAAACCACTACTCCATACGTGCAGTCAAATATAGATATCAAACAAGAGGTGACGAAGTCATAAGGATATTTCTTTTTCTGCAATTTTTTGTCACTTTTCATCAAGTCAGCGAGGTCACCGGAGTCTAACTAACCTGATACCTGGGCTCAAAGGACGATAACACACCTGTGATTCTAAACTTGCAGGTATTCATGGGCGGTGGTCATTTACCATCAGGTAACCCGCCTGCGTTTTTGCCCCCTATACCAAAATCAAAAAAATGTAGTGACGGCCAGACAAGGAAGTGATGCCATTTTTTCTTTTTGAGAAACGGTAAAATATGTAGGTAATTTAGTGATTATCTGCTTGAAAAAATCTGGTTTACGTATTTAGGTCTACTATTGGACCCTGAAATATAATTATAAGGTTTTTCTTTTTTTTTAAATACAACTTCCGCATTAGAAATATATGCTGTCGCGGGGGACTTTACAAACATACATGTAACGTACACAAAGACCTTACTTTGGCTTGTAACACATAGTAAAAAATGATTTTATCTACTACTACCTTATCTTCAACATCATCATCATCGTCATCATCAGCCTATCGCAGTCTACTGCTTTTCAATTTTTATACCTTCTCTTATTATCTATTATTTACAACATTATAGCGTTTGCATTTAAATTGCCACAGATTACGTCCTTCCCCGTCCACGTCCTTCCCCGTCCACGTCCTTCCCCGTCCACGTCCTTCATATTATTATCCTCTTCAATTTATTTCTCTTCGCGTCTATTCATGAAACAATGAACGTTCGAGCTGTTTATTTAGATAACAATTTCATCTCTCGTGTTTTCAATTTGCAACTAAATTAATTACCCTCTCCTGAGAGAATTATAAATTACACAATACTGGACATAAAAGCATATGAGGAATCCTAGTTATATTGTTAAAATAATTTAGATAGACGTGTTACGTATTTATATGAGAATAAGTGAAGACATGACATTCATGAGTTTTCGCATACAGTGTTGACAATGCAGCGGAACCACACTGAGTCACATTATATTTAATGTTAATTTCTTCAGCGGCTTAACTCGTGTAAGGTTAGTTTTCTGTTTGTCATGAATAGCAGTTTCCTAGGCTTGTCCTTTCTACATCCCTGACATTCATATCTCATTTCATGTTGATCGGTCCAATTGCATGGACGTAAAACCATAGAAAACAAAAATTCATTTACTATCGCATTCATAATATATTAGTTAGGTTTAGGATATCTATAGTTCAAGTTTCGAATATGTAAGATATTATTCAAAAGGTTGTATATCAAAAACTAACGAGTAAAAGGGATGCATTACATTTATTTTTTAAACTAGGTTGTGTAGATTTAAAGATCTATTACTATAACCAACTATGAACATATAGCTAATAATATATTAGGTAAGTATTAAAACCTGAAAATTCCTTAAATTTATATTTAAGTGAGTCACATGGTTAACTTATTTCTCAAGATTAAAGAGGAATTAATAAAAAATCTATTACTACGCTGTTTCATTATAAAAGTGTGTCTTATAAACAGGGTAACTATAAGATGTTAGTCAACCAATAAGGTAACAATTTATCACAAAGTTATTACTTAGTTAAAAGCATCCCTAGTCAGGTATTGAATAAAGTAGTCGACTTGGTTTTACATTAGATCTCACAACTTGTTCAAAACTGCTCTGTCTGGCTATATTATTTTTTCTGTGATATTTTGTTAACAAACATTACTTGTAAATACTTTCTGTATATTTTATTATTATAATGATTAGATCCATCTAAATATTCTAAATTGTATTTGTATAATTCTTATTTTGGTTGCAAATTTCATAGAGTTAGTGTATAAATTAATAAATGTCTCTTTGAGTTTTTATTAAGATGTTATATTATATTATGTAACATGTGTGGAAGCACCTTTATGACACGCCCTTTCAACTTAGGAGTCAAGAGTGCCGTACCTGAACCAGCTTTCACGTAAACTACTGTTGACTAATAGGGTAAGTTCGCTTAACTTTAGTCTTTGAGCTTGTGAATCGACAAATACGAGTAAATGTGAACCTTACATGTAATTATGTCTATATTTAGTCTGATTATGACTATATTTGGATAATAAATGTTTTTTATTGATTCCTAGTTTTCTCATTTATTCCTCAGGTATCCAACATCTTATTGGGACGACTTATTGGGACGAGACAAATAACAATAAATTTTTAAAACTGCTGAAGGAGTTCCTTTTAGATACTGTGTGAGAATGTAAAATAGATATACAGGTAATGTAATGTAGATGTACTGAGAATCAATTTTGTTCACACAGACAAACAACGAAAGTTGTTTTGTGAGGAAACTGTATAACCTAACAGACTAAATGTAAGCTTAGTAATGTAATAAAATAAATAATAATGAAAATATGGTATACGATTACGATACGTATATGATTTCACAATTCAGCCCTTTCATTTTCCCCTTCATTTTCGTTCAGACGTTCTTGATTTAAAAGTGGTTAAATTAGCTCGTTCTTTTATTTATTACGATTATCAATATATGATATTTTTTTCGGACATCACACATTCTTTACTAAATTAGTAAGTAGTTAGCCAACTTTTTTAGCTTCTAAAGTAATAAATAATTTTACAGCCTACATAATAAAAGCTGGTTATTGTGGAACACTATCAATATAGGTAATTGAAATCACAAATCACTATCCGTTTAAAAACTTTAAATATGCAACTACACTCGAAACCGAAATAAAAAGCAACTAAGCTTATAAAGCTTCTGTTTAGAGTACTGGGTCTGCTTACTCCAGAAATAAACAACAGCAACGAAATATACGAACAATAGAACTTTAGTGTGACTTTAAATCTTCTGTACGGCTTAAGTACTTTTGCAGTCTGAGATTCCAAAATTTAGATATACTGGTATTAACGCTGCGAAGTACAAGATCCTGATTAATCCCAAAGCCGATAAGCACTTACCGGTGTTTTAAGATTCTCTTCAGTAAAGCACTCTGAGAATTTAAAATATTTTCAGAGTTCCTTGATAGTTGTTTTTTTTTTCACAATTTTTTCAATAAATAATTAACGTTTTAAATGGATGAACATGCATATTAATAAACTTTATTCTTCATTTTTAATTAAGAGACTCTTAGATATTGTTGTTTGTTAAAGTTGTTTTGAACTAAACGTGAAGTGTGTCCTCTCAAATTAAAACCAAATCTCGAATGACGGATCTGAGATAATACACAAAAACAACCGGTTTGAGTTCGTGTCACCCTAGCAAATTATTTTTTCTCATACAAACAGCTTTTCAAAAAAATCCATTTCTAATAAGAGAAACGTCAACATTGCTGATATACCTCGGCTTTATACAATGTGGTGTTTATTCCCCAATTATTTGGCGGTTACACTTCAGGCAAAACTGTGTCCTACTTTCATCGCTCTCCATATTTTCATTAAATATTTCATGATTATGTTACGTACACAAACAAATCAACTGCCGTGAAAAATGGTACTACCTTTTTGATTTTGGTCCAAAAACCTGCCCGAATTTTAATTAGCTTTCTGTTATGATTACGATAGGCTAGCCGTTATAAGAATAATGTATAATGAAGAAGGAAAATGTTTTACATTACTGACTGTAAGTAATATTTCGTAAGCCATTTTTCATGTATTTTTAAGGCACTTGATAACTATGTATAGACGGTAGATGCAAATTGGAAAATGTAACAAAATCTAACTAACTCTACAATTACATATAGTATAGTTATAGTACCGCACCGGAGCTCAAAGTGAAGTGGTATATCGCAAACGATTTAAACCACACGGTGTTTCATCACATGTGAGTCTATTGCAAGGGATTAGGGATATATCCTAGGAAGGCAATCCCTGGAAGACTCAGCAGACCTTCATTGCCATAATGTGTGCTTACATATCAAACTCATTACTCACAAAATAATATATGTCATAGTTATACTGTATATTTATCGCCTGTATATTTATGCAAGGTCACTACCTACTTTTTCTCGAAGCGTCTCGTCGTTTTTGTAACCCTTATAACTTAGGTTTGGATTATATCAGATAAACAGAATTCTCGAGATATAATGCCAATAGTAAATTTATTAAACATAAAAAGTTTTAATTTCATAGCTTTAGATTTTATTAATATCTAAAAAACCTCATTTCGTCACTGACTCACTAATGATAATCAAAATTTTTAGGGTACTTCCTGAGGGCCTAAAATGTAGGCCTGTAATGTAGGCCTAAAATGAAGGCCTGGTATGTAAGCTACACAAATAAAAAAAAATACAAACAAGAGAAAAAAGAAAATTTTAAACTTAGACATTTTATACCACACCCCCCTCCCCCCCCCCTCAACCACTTAAACTAGACGTTGGGTTAAGGGACTTCCTTGTTATAAATAATGTCATAAGCAAAAGTACAAATACAAAAGTTAAATCCCAACAAAAACATGGCTCGCAATTTCAAAAAAGTTATCAGATTTCATGTAGAGTCGGTGGACTCTACACGCCCTAACTCTACAAGTCCTAACTTCACAAACTCTACACCTTAATCAAAATAATGTGGATTGGCCATTTCGCTACCGTCACATAAGCGTAATTTATAAAATTTACTTACTGTTTACTTTTTTCTTATACAATTGTTCTTGTAGTAACTAAACGGCTAAGCCACATTTGGTCTCGTCTTGGCTACATTTTACATGAAAATGTTTTTAGTGGGATAGTTTTTTATTTTTATACATACATCTCATAGATGGGATGGGATTACATAAGTGGGACTAAAAGTAGAGTCGGCATATGGACGGTTTAATACGCCTATGTTTAACACATCGGGCGTAGAGAGTGAATGTAGGCATCAATGCTGTTTTAAATAACTATCTTACTATGATTGATAATTATTTTTGGTCTACTATGGTATTTTTCTCTTTAAGTAACTAACGTAATCCTCTGAGATAAATGTATTTGAAAGTAATTGGATAAACGATATCTCTAGCGTCTTTACGAAAATTGCCAATCGCAATCATTAGAGAACCGCTTTAGAATATAAGAACGCGTATTGTGTATTGACGCTGGATCAATATTGAACTCTATTTATTTGTTACGAGAGTTACTATTTATTTAAATATTTAGTTTAAGTGTACATTCTGATCTTATCATTAATCTGAGCTTTAGGACATTTTGTTGCGTCAACGAGCTTATTATGGCAATTTTCCTTTTATTCAAAACCTCGTACGGTTTAAAAGGCTGTTATTCTTTGGTAGTAGTGGTTTTATAATACCCTGTATTAACCCGTAAATGGTTAAAATCTGAATTTGGGATAGAACATTTTAGATTTATTAAAAGTTTCATATTGGCTTTCGATTTGATAAGGATTTATGGTTTCTATTTAAACAACTTCGAGAAAGGAAAGGTTCTATGTTCCATTGAATGTATATTTTTATGTATGTCCACTGATATTAGCGTTATCTAAAATTTGTGTGTTTAAAAGTGGTATTTGATGATTTTAACGCAAAGCTTGTACTAAGGAACATATGTATAATATGTATGTGTTTACAAAAAAAAGTATGTATGTATTTATATCAGTTGTCTAGTACCCCCAGTACAAGCTCTGCTTAGTTTGGGACTAGATGGCGTTGTGTGAATGTATTAAATATTATTATTATTGTTTCATACACAATCATGTACGCAACTCATATTGTGTTTTATGTGAAGTCTAATTAATATTTAGTTTAACTTACTTATATGATAGAGGACCAAAGAATCGTCCATTTCCCCATTATAACGTTGAAACGCTTCATTGGTGGGCGCGAACAAAGTCATCTGTCTGTGTTGTAGTGTTGTGTTGACCACAACATTTCGTTCCAACAGTGCCAAGAACTGTAAACAATAAGAAAAACATTTGTTAATTATAATAGTTTGATCTCATACTAGGCAGATCCTGTACATCAATACTTTATATTATAAATGTAAAACGTTTTTTTTTTAATTTGTTTGTAAAGCCTCTTTTGCCAGTGGAAAGCTACATTATCTGCGAGTAACATAGGCTACTTTTTACCACGATAACCGACGTACAAAACCTAGTGCATAATATATATAAGTTACATAAAAACAGAACAAATGAACGATTATTTCATTAACGTCTGAGTGTAACGTTCATCACACAATTATTTGACAAAACCTCCTTTCTAAGGAGAGGCCTATGTCCAGCAGTGGACTAGTAAAGGCTGTTGATGCTGATTACTCAATTATTTATTCCACCACCTCTGGCTCAGTGTAAGCAGTCAGTCTAATGACTGATTACCCGCTGGTGCTAAAGTTTTTATTATCAGTGTCAAATATTGTACAGAGATGGATTTATAAACATAGGTTGCATATATATGTGACGTTCACTTTTTTTTAACGTCACGAAATGTCTCCATTCTGGAAGCCGTAGATGGCCCAGGGTCCGTCGAAGTGCTAGGGATTTTCTTTCTAGGGTACAGCAGGTTCTCCGGCTAACAGTACCTGTGTGTATAAATTATAGAAAAATATTTGGACTTTATGTTCATAAAATACAAGGGACAAAATTTTAATATTCATTGTAAGCGGGTGCGGATGACATGCACAACCCCTAACCCTATCGAAGAGCAAGAATGCGGAATCTGGAGAGTCAAGGAATACAAAAAGCTTTGTAAATTCACAAGCAAAGTGTGACATGTTTACACCGTATGTCGACATAAAATGATTCTTATTTTTTCTGAAATTCAGTTAAAATTTCTTAGCTAATTTAACAGGTGCTGCTAGTAACTATTTTGCAATAATAACTAAAAAGTCAGTTGACCAGAAAGAAAGCGTAGAAAATGATACTGAATTGGTTTCTTTGCCTTTTTACACCTATATAGGACATTTGCAAGACCAAGGTATATAAACTTTTTAAGCAAGCGTAAAAACTATTACGGTTATAGCTGGCTTAAACAAAAATTGCGCATCTAAGAATATTGTCTACGTGCGCTTTTTGCGATGTACTCTTAGAAATTAGTTTGAATAAAAAACTGATTACAGACTTTCTTTTATATCAACATTTTTTGCTCAGGTCATTTATATTATACATCTTGATGGAAAGCTATTGAACAACTAAAATAAATGGGTTAATTTTACTGTACTGGTATTCGTGAAAATCAAACATTTATAGTGACCGCGATAACATGGCCAACCTATACAGCGACAGTGGAATGTTGAATTTAGTGGCCAACAGTTGGACGCTATTTTTTTTTGACACTTTTATTTCTTTGAAAGGCTATCTAGACATAATAATATAAATGATATATAGTTTTACTATTTTTCGGTATTTTTTTTTACCTAACAAAACCTATTTAGTCGTCTAAAAATGTTGTCCATCCATCACAGAATTCAATATTAATAAACATGGTCAGTTTCTTAATTGATGATTCCTGTACGAGTACGCGGGTTGGTGCTGCGTCATGCACCAGGTGAAATATTTAACAATAGTTTTGTTATTTTTATGCGGGTTTCGTGCCACGTCCATAGCACGCCTAAACCGGTACCGTGTTAAGCTAGCAGCAAGTTTCACATTTAATCTAATTGTGTGTGAATATGTTTTAAAGTGATTAAAACCTGCTTTAGGTGCCTATTTAATAGCTCACGAGACCCTGATTTACTGTATATGACCGTCTCTTCCTATTCTGCCCCTCCTTTCCATATTATTATTATTTAATATTTATTTATCTTTATAATGACTAATCGCTTCTCAAAAACATGCCTTGAATTAAGTGAATAGAATCTAAAATAACTTCTATTTAGTACGGCTTCTTTTGTTATGTGATTTTCGCCAAAAAAAGTATTTGCTTTAGAATATTGAAGGAACATTAAAAGAAAAAGAACTCCTTTAATGAACAAAGTTCGCCGATATTAATACACCTGAATAATGTTACAGCGATCGGTTTATTTGTAGGGCTTCATTAATATATTTTCGACGAAAGGCAAATTTTAACCAACAAAACACGAGTATTATGCTGAGTAGGAAATTTATACCTATTATGTTAAAAAAACGTAAGTATATTTCTATAGAGCATTATTTTTTAATTAATGGAGTTCACAAGTCTTTCTGAAATAATTTTAATTCATTATTAGCAGTGAGAACACCCCCTTTTTTTTTCCGTGCGGAAATCCCCTCGGATACCACTTATCGGTGGCATGTCGGACTCGAACCGACTAAAACCGCACGCCGTCTCGGGTACTAAGAAAGCGAACACCCCTAAACGCGATATACGAGAAACAATTTTTAAATGACGAATATTATTTATTGCGTACGTGTTACGTTTACTCACAACCAATACCTATACCATCAGTTTTCATAAAAAAACCAGCCAAGTGCGAGTCGGACTAGCGCACGTAGGGTTCCGCACCATTATCTATAAATCATGTCTGTTGTATGGGAGCCCCACTTAAATATTTATTTTATTCTGTTTTTAGTATTTGTTGGTATAGCGGCAACAGAAATACATCATCTGTGCAAATTTCAACTGTCTAACTATCACGGTTAATAAAATACAGCCTGGTGACAGACAGATAGACAGACAGGCAGACAGACGGACGGACGGATAGCGGAGTCTTAGTAATAGGATCCCGTTTTATCCTTTGGGTACGGAATCCTAAAAACAGTAGCTCTTATCTGTCCTGGGTATGTGTTTTATGTATGGGTATGTGGCCTCTGCAGCAGAGCCACTATCGAAGCTCATTATTTTGTTACCTAGTGTACATACAGCAATAATGGCCCTAGGTACATTAGGTACGTTTGACGTACATCATTTTAAGATATCGGTATTTATTAGGGTAGCTCTGCGGCAGAGCATGACACTTCGAACTGACGAAGATGAGTAATAAATTATATTTGATTCATTTAACCTGACAATAACTTGGTGCAGTATTGTATAGGAATTGATTAACATTAGCATTATTGGTTGTGTTAATTGTTTAGATTTAGTCGCAAAGGATCAGTTTAAGCCGAGTTGGGATGAGTTTTGGGATCAAAGCTACAAAGCCAACATAACGAGAGTTAATTTAATATTTACTACAAATATCCGTCAACAGAAAGAATCTTGCAATATATTCTACGTCTGGAAAAGTAACAACTCTTTTAATTTAAAACAATCTAGCATGCAGTACATACCAGCTCAATATCAGATAGAAATATATATCCTATAAGACCGTCGTAGTTAATTTAAGTTTATGGTTATCCATTTTTTAAAATTCAAGTATTTTTTCGCTCTACATTTTATTTAAACTTTTTTCTGTACCAATTTACATTTAAATCCAACCTTAACCTACATTAAAAACGAAGCATTATTTATTTTGAAAGTTGTGTACAGTTGGACTTCAGGTTCGCTCACTTATTACTAAGGCTACTCTTTGTATGTCTTGATCTCCTGTCTGCATCTATACCTATTGAATAAAAAAGAAAAAAAAAAAAAGGATTAATGGTCTTAACAAAAGGGAATAAATCAGTGTTTAGAGCTTTCAATAGTGCTAATAACATCATGGCAATCTGTGCCAGCTAATTATTGCAATCCTCAATAGGTCATTTGTTCAGGCGATTTAGTGGGACTCAGTTTCCTGTTCTGGATGTTTACAGGACTGTTCGAAATTATCAGACCGTTAAGGTTCGTACAAATATGATCTAAATATAAGGTGTTTTTTAAATGCTAATATGAGTTACGTATTTATGGCTGTCTTTCTTTAAGCACAGAGCCGAATGAAGAAAAAGAACATTATCGTTATTCGTTAAAAGCCGGGCAGGATTTATTTTATTAAAAATTACGAAACATGTATATCAATATCATCAATATCAACAGCCTTTACTAATATAAGGCTGGGCATAGGCCTCTCCATGGAAAGGAGATTTTGGCTTCTATAAAACGCTGGTCAGACGGGTTGGTATAGAGTTTGTTTTAAGTTTTTCTTCTCTTTGCAGTGCTGTTGTCCTGCATAGTTTGCTCCCTTCGTCGGCTCTTACGACACGCATGAGATGAATAGGGATGGTGACACTCAGTATTCTTAATCCGTCACCACTAGAAACTTGTATCTATAAGAGGAGAAACAGTATAAGTTATGATCAATTATTAGACTTTTTCATGTAATTCTTAGGCTTGTTCATGAAGCAAATTCAAGGGTCAAATTGCGAGGGCAACAAGAATTGTGATAGACATCTGAATATTTTATCAAAAAATTCATTCATTCGATTTATTCATTCATTCAACCTTCTTAGTATTTCAATAGCATGTTATCGAGAGAAGGTTGGATTCCTAGGTCGAACAAATAGTTATTAGGGTGTTAGAATATCAGAAAGCACTAAGGATATGATAAACTGCCTGTTCAAAGGCAATAGGTTTGCTTGCTTGTAATGTTTAGTAACAAAAGGTACCAACTTTATTACCAATTGTCACTAAAACTTTAGTTATATTTTTTTTTGTTTTTAAAAAGACAACTCCCGCACTAGAAATATATTCTATGTGTCGCGGGGGACTTTACCAACATACATAAAACGGATAACAAAAAACACTCAGACTCAGAACGACAATTTGTGTCGTGTCGTTAAATGTGAGGATCGAACCCACAACACTCAGCGTAGTAGGAAGCGGCGTGGCGACCACTTAAACCACTACGCCATCCGGGCAGTCGACAGATGAAACGTGGAGATTGAAACCATAATGTTTTAGCTTCATTTGTAGTGGAACAAATCATATTGTTGTTGATGTTAATGGTTAATAAATCTTCCATTATTATTCTTCCAGTAAATATCTACTTATTTAAAACTTAGTTAAATGCACATATATCTATGTATATATCCTGCTGTTATGGGGCATTATCAAATATTATTA